GACAAACTCGCTGCGAAGTGGAACAAAAGAATGAGTTGAGCATCTTTATATATAGAGATCCTATTAGATATATTGTATTTTTATAAAATGGTCACCACGTTTTGCCAATTGCCCGCTTCCAACAGCTTTTCGAGGTGGAGTAAGGCTAAATTGTTGCGAAGCGCCAGTTTTGATTTCTATGGAGCGCAGTGAAGTTAAATGTCTGATTCAAAAAGGTTCAACAGTATTAAGGCTAGCGTTTCTTGCTCACTGCCTGTTCGAATGAAAATGAAGTGTAGTCAGGGTATTTGGGTTTTATATGGTTTTATGATAAAATAAGCAGAGCGTAGTAAGGCTCAATTTTTGCCAACTGGCTGCTTCTACTGCTTGCATCGAAAAAGGCCATGTTGCGTAGTAAGGCTAATTTGTTCAGCTGCGTGCTAAACAAACATTTGACAGAAGCCTGAACTTGCCAACATGTTTGTTTTCCTAAAAATGTGTGTTTGCAAACTGTTTGCTTCCTAGGAACTATTTGGGGCAAAACAAGACTGCATTTTGCCAACTTGTTCCCCCCAAATCTTTTTTAGGCGTACAATGCCTAACTTGGCAACTGGCTGCCTCCAAATTGTTTAACTAGACATAGTAATAAGCCTGAATTTGGCATCCTATTGACTTGAGCACAGATCAGTTCGAAAATATGCTGGCAGCACGTGGTCGAACCAAACTGGTCCAATGCGATGTCAAAAAACACCGCAGAGGGCGTTGGTAAAGCCTGATTACCTGCATGACAGAGCCTGGATAATCCCTGTTGCTGGGAAATACCTGGCAGGGGGAAGGAAGATGTGTGGGCTCCGGTAGTATTCCTGGCCCAAGCTGCGTTTGTGTGGCACACCAAGGGCATTCAACGGAAGTTGTTCGACATTTCAGCGTTTGTTAGGTGGTCGCGACGAGCCAGCATTCGAACAGGAGTGTGCTATGTAGGGTGGATATGGGTGGATTGCTAAGTTGCAAACTGCTTCAAGGCAGTTCTATACAGCACACGTGCTGTTGGTTTGCAATGGGTGAATGCGCGGTGGCTTTTCTGCCGGGCTTCGAGGCTGACGAGCAAGTTACACAAAACTGAGCCCAAGGGAGGAGGCTAGCGGGAAAATGTAGTAAATCAGTCAACCTATCCCTGGCCGCCACTGCCGACAAGCACAGACTCAGACAGAGCAGCCATTCTTTGCACCGCTACAGTGCCAAGCAAATGCACCCGCTTGCCCGTGGCAAGAACAAAAAGACACAGGACATGTGCTGCACCGCTGCATGTTTGAGTGACCGTCAACACACATGCCACCATGCATGAGCTTGAGACACCACGCAGCTGCATGGCAGTGGGATTTCATTGTCTTCACGTCCATAGATTCCAAGTTGTGACTCGTTTTTCATCGTTTTTCCATCTTGCCAATGCTGAGGAGCCGTTGTGAGGCTCATGAGAGGCAAAGGCGGCGCCTGGTGGACGAGCTTGGCGATCGAGAAGCGCAAATGAAGAACACGCAAGAGTGACTGATCTCGAAGGGCGGGGTCTCAGGAAAAGGGATGTCTTGGCTGTCGCTCCAGGTGGGAATTGATGAGCCTAAGGCTGTCAGGCGGAAAAACGTCGGCGATGCGGTGCAAAACATGTGTTTTTTGATGTACTCCTGTCTACCTAAAAGCTTGGCGGGTCTGTGGTTTTGGTGTTTTAATTGTGTTTTTTCTCATCCATTGAGTTACCCGAAAAGCAATCATGTGGAGAAGTTGACATGTCCGTGCAAGATCATGCAAGCAATGATGTAGCAATCTCGCCATGTGAGCCCCTTGTGCGTTTGTTTTCTGTGGCATGTGAACCCACACATCGCAAACGCTGAGGCTGCAAGAGGAACTCCAGATGCTGCAAGGCAAACTACAACTCTCGGAAGTGCAAGCGAGTGGGTTCTTGCGTGCCGAGAATCAGGCGGGTGGAGGAAGGCGTAGTCTTGAGACTTGAGAAGACCACAAACGGAGTGTAGTTTTGATGTTTCATATCATCACTTTTCGGAAACGGCGAGCCTGGGCTTTGTTTTTTGTTGTATGTGAAGACAAATGCATATGGCTAGTGGCTTTGCGAAGCGAGATGCCAAAGCCGAGGTGCAAAGCCTTCAAAAGAAGTGGCTGGACGCACGATTGCAATGCCAGGCCAGGATACTGATTGCACATTGTAATTGCCACCTTCATCCTGGAAGGTCACACAGTTCTGCTTCTCAATCTGACATGCCGGTTGTCAGCACGGGTCATCACGAGATCCATAAATCTGTACACCCAATCACAAGAAACGTCAAGAAACCCACATTGAGTGAGTGTGTGCATTGAGTGAGCGTGGTGGTCTACGCTCAAAAATGGCATCAGACCTTTGGAAACCGTTTGAACGTCCACGGTTTCCGTTTGAACATAGGCATCTGAAGAGGAACTTTTGAAGTGCCAGCAGCTGTTTGAGGAGGCGTCTACGCGTCGACCGCGTCGACACGCTGTCTCTTTTGGATGCGTCAGACGGCGCGTGGCGCGTGGCGAGCGCGAAGGGAAAAGGACGACGCAAGCGGGCGCGGTTGCTCGCATGGGAGAAACGACTCTGGCGGCAACCCATGCAGAGAGGATCCCGCAACCATCCACAGCCAAACAGTCGTCAGATGTTTTTGATGTCTTACTGTAATCATTGGCCAAAGACACGTGGCTGGATTGATCTCTGCCTGATCACAGCGTCCCGTGAGGAAGAGCAAACTGCTCGGCAACTGGATGCCGCAAAGAAGAGGCATATGGAGTCGGCTGAGGCACATGGAGTCAGCTGCATTTGGTTCTTGCACTGGTCCAGAAACGATCTTGCCTCCAGTTTTGTGGTTGCAGGAGACGCGCAAGGCGCTGGACAAGCTGCAAACAAAGAGCCAACGATTGGAACTGGAGGCCGGGAAGGGTGCACGAAAGTCTTTGTCGCGCTGAAGTGGCTAAGCATGGCTATAAGATGCTATAAGCACAGCTGAAAAGCCGATGATGAAAGTCGATGAACAAAGCAGAGTACGAATGTCGCAAGTCCCTAAAGACGATGAGTCGAATGTCCAAGGACTCGGTCGCTTTGGCCTTATAGACTTTGTTGCGTCTCCAAAAAAAACAACCGGTCGCCACGCACGAAACTCATGTCCAAACTCCATTTTGGTGTTTCTAACCAAATGTTCGGCCAGGAAAGGGGAGTTTCTCATTGACCTGTGCCCTCCAATGACTAGCTCTTCACTCGACTGACCTAGGCGACATCTCAAGCTCGAAGTGGAAAGCTGAGCTGCGCTGATTTGATTTTGAAGACCACGTGCGTATTGTAAGCCTCGTAGATTTTGAAGATGTAGAATCAGTTTTAGACTCTTCAGACACCTTATACATCCTTATACTGTGAGATTTTAGAATTAAAGTGAAGATCAAACAAGCAAATTGCAAGAGTTCAGGCCAGGCAAACCACCATCTGGTACCATGCAAAACACTCTTAATTCAGATGGATCCAAGGAATGGTTCATGAGGAGGACACACTCAGAGGCTGGTCATGGCTGGGTCTGGCTGGGGTGTCGTTAGAAGCCATAGGCCATGATGCCACGCACCACAGCCACGAGCCACAGGAATCTGATGTTTATGATTATGTGGGGATTAGGGTTTCCCAACACCACCCGGACCCACCAGCGAACCTCAAATGACATGCCCAGAAAGGCCAACGAATTGGTTTTGACTTCCACATTGACCATGCAGAGTATTCGTGTCTTCGTCGACTCGACTCTTCAGAGTTGAAACGACTCTCCAATCTCCAAGTACTGAGGTATGGAGCACGCCCTAGAGGAAGTTCACCAGGAACTCGATCGCTTCCGTAGCTTGGTGGATTTGCGGGCCCAAGCTGAAGTCCCAAGAAGTTGTATATAGATGAATTTGGGATATAGTAGGTTTAGTATGCATCAACAACGAGGAGTGTGGCAACTAAGTATATTGTTTCTTTTGGCTTCTTTGACGACTCATCCTGGACTATTTCACGAATATGCCCTTCTGGATTTGTCCCTAGCAGCCACACACACACACACAGATGCAATACCGCGAGTTCAAGAGGACTGTCGTTTGCAAGGCACTGAGCAGCAAGTGCAGCTGGCAGACACCATGGGCGCGAAGGTGCGCGCACAGATGGAGTTTGCTGGTGCAGAGGCTCGGGAGAAGGCTCTTCAAGTGGAGGCGCATCTGAGCTCCTTTCTTGTGTGGGTAGTCAGGTTGGGAAACACAACCCCCAAATCAACGATGTTTCTCATATATAGTTGTTCATTTTGGACATGTGGGTGAAGCTATTAATGAATCTACTCAGTTACTCAGGGACTGCCGTTGTTTGTGGAAAGGGAATGCCAGTCATGACCAAGGATTCGGGATTGAGATCCGCGAATTTCCTCTAAAAAATCAGGCAACCGGGGTTGTCATAAAAAACGAAAACGGATGAACACATACAGTGCCAGTCTACAACTGGAACTGGGGGTTCCCATTTTCTATCAGGGCAAGAGGTGATTGATTTATTAGAGAATTTGGTTGTCGAGCAATACCTCGAGATTTGGTGCCGATTCTTTAGAGAAAAGAGTCTTTGCAAAGCCAGATTTGCAAATCCAAGCACGGGCTCAACCCACAGATGCAGAGACCATACCAGGATCATCTATAGATGATATCAGGACATATCAGGATTACATATGTTTCCAATGGTTTGCAAGCTTTTGGTCCATCAGCAGTTGGATTCACAGTGAAGTTAAAGATCAATAACGATGATAATAATTGATAATCTATGATAATCTATCTTATATTCCAACAGGATAGTTTTGAAGGATGCTGGATGATCAGATAGGGTCCAGTGAACTTTTCTATTCTGTAAACATGCCTGCAGCGGCAAGTCATGAAGAAAACATGCATGAGTCGACTTTGTTCCACTCGAACCCGGACATCTGATTCTTTAGGCCTTTTGGCCTGTTCCTTCAAGTCTCCGATTCTTTAGCAGAGGCATTCTGGCTATTGATTCTTTAGAGAATGTCCTTTATTTTTTAGTGCCACTTCTGGACCCTGAACCTGGGGGTTCCTAAAGAATTGACAGTCCGGGTGTGAGTGCGAATTCGAAGGATGGATTGAGTATGTAATTTGGCAGAGAGTCACCCCCAGGCAGCACAAGAGTACCGCCAGCGGGAGGGACTGCGCAGCTTGCTGCTGGCAGAAGAGACGCTGAGCTGCAGAGTGTTTATACATGCTTGTGTGTCGAAGCCCGGAGCACAAACCCTGGTAGGTTGACTTCATCCCTGGTAGTCTATTCTGTTCATTTTCGGAATATCCTGTAAGAAAAGACGTGTCGACCTGATCGGAGCTGAGAGGAGCTCCGTCCGAGGAGCCGCTGCGATGCGCAAGAGAGACGTGTGCGGCGCCTGGTGGACGAGCTTGGTGATCGAGAAGTGCAAATGAGAAATGTGCAAGAGTGGCCTGGCGCTGAGGGAAAGAGGGAATGAGGATGGCTGAGTGACTCCACCACACAGGATGTGTGGGGTAGTCAATTCTCAGACAGTAAACAAAGCTTAGTCAATTGGGATCAAACAGGTATTGGTTGGACTCTCCTTGGGGATGATAAGCTACTTGTGCGTCTTTTGTTCGAATGGGGAGTTCAGTGGGGTTTGAGGCATGGTTGCTTGGGGGCAGATGTCTCAAAATGTGTCAAAAATATCAAATTATTATAGTTGCCTTTAAGGAATTGCCATGGTACCTGCACTTACATATTGTGCTGAAAGCAACACTTTCGCTGGGGCCCCGGGGCTGACCACAAAAGAATGAATGCCGAAGTTTGGCCAAAGGTCTTGGGTGGATCTAATTGTCAGAGAAGAAAGGGGGATCAAACTTGGCTTGCACTAAAACAACTTTGGAGCAGGCACCTCCTTGTTTTTCCTGAGATCCATCTTACATGCCCAGGTTGCAGGAGGAGCTCCATGTGTTGCAAAGCAAACTGCAACTCTCGGAAGTGCAAGCAAGGGGGCACTTGCATGCGGAGAATCAGGCTGGGAGAAGAGTCTGGGTACTCACGACTTGTCACAGGTCTCATGTTTGGGGCCTTGAACCTTTTCTGGCGTTTGGTTTTCCCTGTAAAATTCCAACAGGTGGAAAAAGGTTAACGGTTGACCTTTATTTTCCCGGGAAACTGAGGGGTTCCGATATAGACTGAATAGTTTGGTCATCTTTCGTCTCATGGAAATGTACTTGGGAAAAGCGGGCATGGCCAGATCCTGTGTCCCATGTCTTGAAGCCTGAGGTGCAGACGCTTCAAAAGAAGTTGCTGGACGCTCGTGTGCAATGCCAGGCCAGGATGGTGTGGACAAGGCTCCAAAGTGGTTTAAAATATAGCTCCAACTTTGTGACCAGAAGATGAATAGATGCTTCCACAACTCAGGTTTCTCTCAAAATGGAACTTGATCAGTATGACCAGCAGATATGATTATTGATAATATATGCAGAGGTGTGCAGGCGCACGCGCCAAGGCATGCCCGCGTCGAGTTGGCATGTAGCGGTCGTTGTCCATGTCCATTGTCCCTCAAACCATCTCAGACCTCTGCATTGGAAATTGACTGCCTTCTTGGACGCAACTGAGGCATCTGAAGAGGAACTGTTGAAGTGCCATCAGCGGTTTGAGGAGGCCAGGCGTGGGCCGAATCTCTTTGGCCAAAGATGTCCGACCGGACCTGTGGGGCCCAGCGCCTTTGAAGAATCGTCGGACTAGGTCGGAATCCACCATGCATCCAAGAGGAAGACTTGCACCCGAACCCAAAACAAATGCGTCGTATACAACAGGCCAAGCAGTGTTTGAGTTTTGCCTCTTTGGCCTGTCCTATTTGGCCTCGCTCAGGGGGCCTCGGATCGTTCTGCAGGAAGAGCAGGCGCTTCGGCAGCTGGAAGCGGCCAAGAAATGGCACATGGAGTCGGCCGAGGACGCGGTCAGTGACCGTGACTGGCGAAGCCCAAGGTCGGTGTCATCGTGGGAAGACTGGACAGAACTTGCTGGCGGCTGGAAGCGGTTCTTTTGTGAATTGCTGTTTCTTGCCAAACCCTCCGAAAGGGGGCATAGCAACGAGTACAAAGCATGTCTCGAAGGGATTGGTTTTGTATCCAATTGGGTATTGATTTCAGTTGCCTTATTATGTAACTTATTTTGGTTCGTTTACTTCCTGACACCTCGACCTTGATTTCATCTATCTTCGTTCCTTTACGTTGATGGCTCCACCAAGAGGTGTGTTTTCACGGGGGCCGAGTTGCAGGAGGCACGAGAGGCCTTGGAGAAACTCCAAACAAAGAGCCAACGCTTGGAACTGGAGGCCGGGAAAATCGGACTCCAAGCAAGAAACCTGGCAGACTGTGCAATAGCAGAAAAGAAAGAGAAGGTTGAGAAGGACAAAGCAAGCCGAAACAGATGAACCATCAGAAAAGCCTAGGCCAAGACAAAATGCTTGCGGGATGAAGACTTCTGTAGACTAAGCTTGACTCATGCTGATACTGATGATCAAAGAGTCTGCGAAAAGACTCAGTCGGCTCAACTGCCACCTACCCAGCCCACCCACCGCAAGAGAGCTTCCTTGCGACATGGTCATTTCGTGGAAGGAAAATTGGAGTGGCATGGTATTGGGAAGGTCAATAGAAGAAGCAGACTGAAAAGCGTGACAGTGCTTCTTATCAGTTTGACGCTGTAAAGTTTGGCCATGACTGGCAAAGTCAATTTATTTGATCAGATGATCACTTTGTTACTCCACATACCTGCTGGCTTTTGGAACCACCTATGTCCCCCCTTTCGCACCCAGACCATCCAAGCCGTCAACCGGTCACGGGAAAGGCCACCTTTCAAGCTCGACGTGGGGGAGCTGAGCGTCCGGAGACGGGTGAAGCGAAGGGTGGCGTCTGGAGATGGGTGAAGTGCCATCGTGGCAGAAGACTTCTGTATGAGATGGATCCTGTGCAGAGGCCCATGCATCACGACATGTCATGACTGTCGACACAAGGAATGACCCATGAAGAAGAAGCTCTCAGAGGCGGGGAAGTGGGGTGGATTTGGGATCCATACAACTCGGGAGGAATTCGGTTTGGCTCTAACATTTTGGCTAAGAGGAGAAATCTTGTTGCGAAAGCCAGCCGATAGGCTAGGAGTGCTTGATAGGCGAACGAATTGAGTATTAGGGGGTGGGGGGTGGTTGCGAGGATGAATTTGGTAGGTAGGGTGAACCTAAATCCTGGTGGGGGAGCGAGTAAACAGAAGGCAGAGACAGGCAAGCTTTCACATTGGGGTTCGATATGATATAGTCTATTTGATATAAGCCTTAACACAAGGCTTTTGCTAATTTTTAGTTATTGTTACTGGTCATAGGAAGGACAATTACTAAATTATGCATTCGTTTGAGAATATGGCTGATGGGTCAGGGAGCCCACATTCTGCTTCGTTGAATCCCACGCTCTTGTACAAACAGAGAGCATTCACCGTTCTAGGGGGTGCCCATTTTTTTCGGCTTTGGACCTTTGTCGCGCAAAGGGCACCCCCAACATAACTTCTTAGACTGTGGCAACTCGCGGTAGTCCAGGAGAACCTAGGTGAATGATCAATCGCTCAATCCACTCATCCGATGCTTTGACCTAGGTTTCATGATTTTACAGCCCCCAAGGTTAAGCCAGTGAGCGTAGTACCACTGCCTGACTTTGGGGAAGACAAACCAGCAAAGGAGTGAAAGGGCACCAGCAAAGGAGTGCTATCTTCTGGGATCTAGCTAGGTCTCCCCAAGTAGTTGTAAAGAAAATACTTTGAAAGACCATGTCTGCAGTCTGTTCGAAGGGCATGTGTGGCCCAGTGGTGGTGGCCCGTTTGATCATTTTGTCACGGTTTTGGGGAAGACAGAAAGGGCACCAGCAATGGAGTGCTATTTTCTGGGTGAGGAGAATACGTTGAAAGACTACGTATGTTTGCGGTCTGTTTGAGGGGCATGTGTGGTCCAGTGGTGGTGCCCGCTTTGATCGTTTGTCATAGCTAGGTCCTCGCAAGCAGCCACAAAGAAAATACGTTAAATGAATATGTTTGCGGTCTGGTTGAAGGGCTGCCTTTCGTATATACATGTACGTGAGCATCCAACAAAGTCGCTTGAATGCCAAAGTAGTCACAGGTTGGTCTTTGGATATTGGAGACCTGGATCAACCTCCCTAACTGATGTACCTTCGCATGTACCAACTAAGTACTTAAGGAAGCATGTTGCCATGCTACATTTGTATATGGCGTAAGCATGCACAAACACTTGGTATGTTGTTTTTCTCACTTTGAGTTGCTTGCAACAGTGAGTGGACTTGTTTTCCAGCTGAATGGAAAGAAGTTGTTGTTGCACGCTGGCAACTGGATGATGAAAGTTGCTGTTGGCCTTTGGCTGCCTGCCAGGGGCCACATATTTTGTGAAACCATTGCAGCCAAAAAGGGTGTGCCTCTAACTGGTGTACGGGTCTTTAAAAGAACTGCAGCATACATTGCCTGCTGTTGAGAGTAGCCCTGCCGTTTGTGGCCGAAGTCAGTGGCTCAAAGAGACATGTTGAAAACCTACAAACTTCCAATCGCTGACTAGTTGCGTGTTTTTCCTGCAGCGCCTAATTGGTGCCCCAACAGATGCACGGTTTGAACATGTTTGTGCTAATGGGCTTAAAACCGCGCGTCTAGTGAAACTGATTTTTCATACAGTCCTTTGGGGGGCAAGAACACACACAAACACACGCATAGGAATATGGAAGATGGGGACACGGCGGATGGGGTTAGGGGGGAGGGGGGGTTGGGTGGGGCTAGTGATGTTCATGTTGTGTGCATTTATATTAGGAAGCCACACACGCACACGCTGTGGAAGAGGGTGGGGGTGAGGGGTAGGTTCCCCAAAGTGGCAGTATGTGGCAGTGAAGTACACTGGACCTGATCCAAAACACCAAGTCCCTCTACACTTTTCTATGGCACGGAGTGCAGGTATTGGGCTTGAGCCAAATGAATTAAGCAGCAGCTGACTGAAGAGAATGTATGTACAAGTAACTGCGGACAAAAGGCGCTACACACGTATAGCGTAGACACGCCTAGGGGAACCTAGGACCTAGGACCCTACAAAACACAGGGGGGTCTGGGTAGGGGGCCAAAGTTTAAAGACGTTGCATGTTCAGTGCATCATAGCGCGTGCGAAGATAAAGCCAGACACACACACACAGACAGGTCGGTACGCACAGGTGGTCGGGGTGTGTCAGTTCTTTTTTTAAGACGTCGATGCGTGGAAACTTGGCTTGGTGGTTACCGACTGCTTGTTTACTCCGAAGTTTTTCCGTTCGGGGGATTGTCAGATGCTTGAGGTCAGGAGAGCTGCTCATCCACACCGGTGCCATTGATGGTATGTGGCGTTTGTGTAAGGAGTCGGTCCCCACCACCAGAATAAAGACGATCTTCTGACGAAGCTGGGTCAGAAGTTGTCCCACAGACTGTGATGATGATGCTGGAGGATGAAAAAGCGCGCCTTTTTTTGGCACGAAACCACAGTTTCGTAGCACTTCGATGTCAAAATCGCAACGATTTTTGAGTTGTTTTCATGTACTACATGCTGCAACAAACCTTTCACATCAATGCAAAGCACACTCACACAACGGACATTCGTCATCATTGACAACGTGAAGATTTGACAAATGTCTTCAACCGCACGCGCGGAAACGAGCCCGGCGGGTTTGTTTGTGTCCAACTTCCCCACACCGTGCCACACCTGGTACAACTACGACTTAATGGCACTCACTGTTGGAATGGCAAAATATGGTAAGTTTAATGCCGTTAACAATGTGCTGAGGGTAACAACTGGGCCTGCTTTGCAGCCAACCTTGCGAACCTGACCAATGGGGGGCCACCCATTTCACTAGCAGGCCATAGATAATATCAGGTTTTGTCCGGCCCCTTTATGGGTGTAAAAAATTGAGGCAGATAAACAATACACACATGCTATAGACATATATACATATATACAGAAAGAGAGAGAGAGAGAGAAAGAGTTCTACAATGTCTAAATGCCCCACCAAGCCTCAACGACAAACCGCTTTCCAGTGTCATGTGCTGTAGATTCTCTAGTGTTTCATTATGATTCTTACCATATTGAAAAACAGTTGCATGACCCATAATATTTGCACGTGTCGCTTTCGTTTAAGGACGTCTCAAAATGCTTTCTGGGTCACTGGTCATCACTGGTCATAAACAAACTCATTTTGTATGGCATGCAGTACGTAGCATACAGTATGAATGCCTGTGCCAATGAGGGGACAAAACCTCCCTGTGAGTGATGAACCAGCCTTGGACCACGGACCAGGGGGGCTAGCTACTGGTGGCAAAGCCTTGTAGACCACCCATGGAACATCGAGCCACACGTTGACGCCGCATGTTTGTGAAACATCGCCCTCCGATGACGCGGCTCATCGACATGTCAGGTATGGAGCACGTCCTGGAAGAAGTGAATCAGGAACTTGGTCACCTTCGCACCTTGGTGGATTCAGGGGTTTGACGGTTTGACGATCAAGGTCGTTCAAAAGGGAGACCGAACGCACATGGTAAAGAACTCCAAGCTGCCTCAGTGCACTGACTGCACCTCCAGGAGTCGCAAGATGTAAGTTGGATCCACAAAAGCTGCCAGTGTAGACCAAACACCAAGCTTCACCAAGCACTGTGTGGCATCTAAATTTACAAAAGAATCCCAGTGTTTGTTTTCTGTTTCAGTCACCCTGGCTGAGGCACCTTGCCTTTCACCCTGGCTGAGGCAGCGAGCAGCGCGTGCATCTTGAGATGAGCCAGATCCGCGCTTCTCCCCGTGCATCACCGACCTTCCAGGCCGGTGAGGGTTCGCTTCGCGACGGCGAGCCGAGGACCCGTTTTCTCCGCCTTCGGTTGGAACCCGAAAGCCTTCGGTCTGAAAAAGAGAGACCGATTTATTTGGGAACAGATCAATCTTAGGCTGTGCTAGCTTTGGTCCGTTTGATCCTGATAAGTGCTGATTCGTCTATTGGAACCAGTGCTTGGCATCGGGTCCGGTGGGATTGCATCCCACATCCACCAGCTGGGATACCCGAGATAGAGATAAAACCGCTCCAACATGCTCCAACGATTTGCACCAAACACACTTTGGTCCTGACAACCTCCCTCCTCCCCAAGAAACTTTTTTCTGATGGTTTTCTATGGTTTTCTCCCTTCTTTATGTGTTTTTTGGTTCCTGGATTGTTTCTCCATTTTTCCTGAGTTGGATCCTTTTTGGTCATTGCAGGGTGTTGGTGGGAAGGTGTGTTGTGTGTTTGTTCACCCAAAGGGTTGTGGACAACCAATTTTGGTATGCAGGGCTTTTCCCAACACTGGGAGAAACGAACATATGTCGGAAAGAGCGGCCTGAGACACAGCGTGTGTCGTTTCTCCGAAGAAGAGCCTATCTCCAGGAAGAGCCTCTCACGTTCCAGACGGCGAGAGCACGCTTCGAAGCCCCATCGGCCGAAAGGTGCCTTGGCGGTTTTTGGGGTCAGGGATCGGCAGAGCAAAAACCAATATGAGCCCTCAACATGAGGTCCTGCAGGGGATGGATGTGCAAAAATACGATTCAGAAAGACGTGGCTCTTGTGGCTGCTCCCACATTTCAGGGGGGGGTCAAAACAGCCATGGAGGGAAATCATATCATGTGTTCAGCAAGAAGAATTGATGGTGGACATGTGCCTCCCCCCATAGGAAACGGCTAGTTGATGTGACCAAGAAACACCCTCGCATCGATCGATTCTCAAGGGAAACAACTTGATACGGTTTATCGGTTGTAGGGGGAACAAACCTCAACAAATCCCAACAGGAATGAAACGAACTCTGGGATTCTTTGAACTGCCCCAAGGTCAGAGCAGCGTTTGCAGAAATTTCCAGATGAGCTCAAAAGTCCCACCAGCGAAGGAAAGGCCTTGGAGGACCGTGACCAGAAGGCACAGCTCTCTGATTTTGGTCCTTCAGTCAGTTCCCTTATCCCTTCAAGGGCAAAAATGAAGCACAGGCACAATCGATTAGTGAGAAAGAATGAAAAAGAAACAACACATATAATAACGGAACAAATGAGATAATTAGCTAAGAAAAGGTGGATCAATGATGCAGTCATACATAGTCATACGGTCCTTTCTTTTCAATGTCCGGCCAGGTGAGCACAGCTGCTTTTGAAGCCAAGACGATGAAGCTTGAAGCTTCTGTCGCCCGATTGAGGGACAGTCTGGAAAGTGCAACTGCCGCAGCTCTCTGCAATTCAGCATCAGCACAATTGAACCTACACTTGCCAGGATGTATCATGATGTCTCTTCTTTATTGCTCTCAACAAGATCTTCAGCTTGTGGCTTGCAGAAATTGGTCTCGGAAAAACCAGGCACAGAGAGAGGAGCAAGAGAAGGTCTCCCACCAAGAGCTTGCAACGCGGCACTTCGAAACTGCCCTTCAACGACAAATTCAAAGGACCGGGGCGATGAATGAAGGACCTCGACCGGCCCGCAGAACCGTCGAATGCAACCAGGAGCGAGGAGCTGTGTCTGGAAAATGCGTAGCAGCCTTAGTGGGGTGATAGAACGATGCTGGGTGATGCCGGGTACGTCTACCCATCATCTCAATCATGAAGTTCCGTGTGGAGTCATATGTTGTGGGTTTTTGTTTGCTCGATTTTCTGCACAGACAAAATTGGGGAAGGTTTCAGCACACAGCTTGTGAATGCTTGTGAGATGCTATTTTGCAGGTGGTGTCAACTGAACTTCATAGAATCCGTTGGCAGCATGGAAGCTTTCCCAATGTCCCAACCACTGCACACCATAAATTAAGTAACAGTTGCTCCATCCGGTGAGCAGTTGTGCTTTCGCGTTGCAGTGTTTCCTTTACACGTGTTCCAAACTCTTTACTGAGGAACTTGCGTGCCGAGACCCAAGAGCTTGAAATGAGATGTCGAGGTGCACGGAAACAGCCGCAGTGGCGGAGTGGTCAGTGGGGGGGGAGCTGTGGAGCCCTGTGCGCTTTAGCTGTGGAGCCCCTTTTTAATTCTTGTTTCTAATAGCTTCTTGTTACTACTAGTAAGGCACTTGTTACTACTAGCGATGCACTTGTTACTACTAGCTTATTTGTTTCTAGCTAGCTGTTCCCCTGCTTTCTGAGCTTGAAACCATCAAAGACCCACCATTGCCATGGGGAGCGACGCGTTCGTCTCGCCGACAGGACACGATGAAAAGTCGGCGCAAACGTTGCATGGTGCGCTGAGCATTGAAAAGCAGCTCCTTGCTGTGCGTGCCAAGCACGGACACCTGCAGGACAAAAACATGGTGATGTCACATGTTTGACTCGGGGTTTTGGCAAGGCGTTTTTGACCCAGGTCGGCGCGAGGCGTGACACTTGACCATTTGCAGGTGTTGCACGTCATTTTGCTTCGACTGGAGAATTAATACTGACAGGGGATTTGGCTTTCTAATTTGTATGTGTTTCTTGGTATCAGGCATCCAGTTCTCAACCATTTTGTAACACTCCTAAGGCTTCACGGCTATCTGCTTCACACAGAGTTCATCAACTGAAGTGCTTCATTCATACACTGCCAGCACACCTTTTGCCAGTATATAGACAGCGTAGCTGAGTGTTTTTTGATGTTTCTTGTCCTCCTGCTCGTCATGTCTTCTCAAGGCTGTTTAGGCGAAACTCAGGTTGATAGAGATGCAGTCATCTCTATAACTGACTGCCACGCATCCTCTCTCCAAGTAGGGGAAGCAAGCAGCTTTGGTGCAGGACGCATATCAAGAGCAGCGCAGCTTGAGAGCAAGGGAAGCAGAAGAAGGGCAGCGACGGCGCAACTTGGCACTTGGAGGTGACTTGAGGCTCAGTGTAGCAAGACACTGGTTATAACGGTTATAAAGTTATATATATATATATCCAGAAACCACCTAATTATTGGGGTCCCCAAAGTCCTGCTGGACAGTGTTGATTGTACCCTGGTTGACCACCGAACATGAACAGAATAGGCTACCAGGGATGAAGTCCACCTACCAGGGTGACAACGGGCTCTGGGTGCGCCGTGACCCACGGCCATGTGATACAACTCATCAATGCAACTGCCTTCAAAAGAAGTCCGGATAAGTCGTGCGTCCAGGTCACGTGAGCGAAAGTGTCGTCGATGCGCTGAAGGAGGCAGGTTCGTTCGACGTAATTAGCGGGTCGACTGTTGGGGCAAAGAAGCTTCACGGAGTGACTAGTGAAGTTGAGCAAGCAAGTATGTGGTTCGGGGCTCTTTCTGAGGGAACAGATGAGTTGGGGTAAGGGTAAGTGTCCAAACCTGAAACTACGAATCACATAGATAGATAGATAGACAGATAGATAGATAGATGGTTGCCAGAGCATCGTGCTCTGAACTGCCATTGTTCAGGAACTATTTCAACTGCGAGAAGAGGCTGCTGCTGAACGAGCTGTCCGGGTCTGCTCCTTATGACTAAGTCACGATTGTGGCAATTTGATTGATTGGAAGTTGGAAAGTTCAGGAAGAAGCTGACCACATTCAAGAAGAGGTGGAGTTGGCATCTGAGCATCGGAGGTGAGTTTTCTTTGCACGATGACATGGCGTTCAAACATGCATCCCAAGGATCGGCAGGCTGAACATTCCTTTCGATTGACTTTTGGGTGGGCTTTGGGCTTTGGGGGGGAACCCGATAAAACTGAGCAGGTGCGAGCCAAACAGATTTTGGCCAAAAGACAAGCTGCAGATGTACTTGCCACCTTGCCTTACAACGCCGAGGGAAAAGCTCAAGCGATTGCACTCTGAAGAGCTCCAAGGCTCTCGACTTAGCCATCGTCAAGTCAAGACTGTGGGGTCTGAGCACTGAAATTCGATCCAAGGCTTCCACTCTGAGCAGAAGGTCGTGCACCCAGCCAGAGATTTTCAACAGGGAACACTGGGAAGACGCCACACGTGTGGTGTCGTTGGCCGTCCCAGACCAGGCTTTGCGTGCTGCCTTGCAGTTGCAACGCCGGAACTCCACTCAAGCATTGGAAGCACAACGCTGGGCACTGCGCCGGGACCGGCCGGATGGGTCGGGACGGACGGGGCATCGTCGGGTGGTGCAGGTGAGAATGAAGGGCCGCAGGTCTGCGGTGGGACTGTCCAAGTGATTTGAGGGTAGGTCCCACAGCTTTGAATGGCAAAGCAATTTTTTGTTCTAAGATGTCCGCCTGTCGACCCACCTGTTCCACGTTCCCCACCTGTTCCAGAGGAAATCGCATGGATCACATGGACTGATGAGTTCCACTCGATGCTTTTCTGAGGGGAAACCTCCTCCCACGGGCGCGTCAACTCTTTGATGCAAGGAGAAGCAGCTTCGCAAGCAGCGCTATGAGTCTGGTCAGCAATAGCTTGCGACTGACACACGTTGGTGAAGCCGCTTCGTTGGTGAATTCGCGGATCAGACACGAGTTCCGAGGTCCAATCGAAGTGCTTGGTGTTACGATTAAATTTGCGTCATTGATTCATTTGATTGTCATGAAGTTTAAGATTTTCTCCAAGTCTCTCACAGTGATTTGGTCCATGACCTCCCTCCTATCTTCGCACGATGAGCTTCAGATAGCTTCAGCTTATTCTGGGAACAAGGCTGGAAGACCCTTTTCCATCATTTTCCAAACAGAGGGCTTTAACTCCATGTGATCCATGTGATTTGAGCAAACCCCCATTAAATCCCCCCGAGACTCCGACGCGTTGTTTCCATGGTCACCCATGCTTCGCGGCCTCGGACGCACCGACGCTCGCTTGAGGCGCTGCTCTCCGCCGCGTCCGAGGAGATGCGAGGGCAACTCATGCGCCTCAAGGCCGGACGCGAGCGAAGCCGAGCCGTTCGTTTCGAGCCGTTCCCGACGTCGGACCTCGGAAGATTCGTTTCTTAAAGTGCTAAGCAACTGGAAGACCAGCTGGAGTTGGAAACATGTCCGAACGTGATTCGGCACGTGTCCGGAATTCTGGTATCGACCACGTGCTATATGGTCCATCAGATCATGATTGCTCGCCCCAAACAGCCAGCTGCCTGCGCTTTGCTTGTGCCAGGCGGCCACCGAGGAAGCTGCTGAGGCTGATGTCGCGGTGGAGGATCAAGACGACTTGGCCTGGCTGCCAAGTCCGCCCAGAGCTCTGGGACTCTCTCATCATCTCCAGATATCTCCGGTGTATGGCAATGAAAGAGACGGATGTGCATTTGCTTGATCATTTTTTCGGACAACACTGAAGGTGGATGAGAATTATTGGGGGGTCCTTCATTCATTTCCACTCTGAGACATACTGAATGGCGTGGGAAGAGGATTCCGTCCGAAGGGAGGTCAGTAACTATGAAGCTATAGTGGGACTACGTCAATCCATAGCATTTCATGAGATGTGCGTTCAAGTGAAGGACCATATCCAGCTCAGCTGTTGGATATGAAGAGTGGATGCATAGCACCAAACCGTTCTAGTAATTAGTAAGCAGGTCAGTATGATGATTCCCACATGGCCAGGTACAAGGGCCGCCCCAAGGGCTTTTCCTTAGTGGACCACCGGTCTTTGGCACACACGCTTTGCGGCTGTTCCTGCAGTATGTTCTGCACGTGCCAGTTCCTTTTTCTGCGCTGGCAGAAGTCATGCTCAATTCTAGGATCCTGTTTCATTAACCTGTGCTAGTGCAACTTCAGGAGGTTTCAAGGAGGTGTAAAACACATGTGGTATAAAATAAAAGGATTTAAACTGTGTTAACGCCTCGACCAACAAATCAGGTCTGAGTAGATGTTCGATAATGTTCAGCATAAGATCCTAAGTTCATGTCTTGGGTCTTAATCAAACCAGTGAGTCTTGCCGTATCATATATGGATCTTAGCTCCTGCAAGACGGTTCGGTGGTCAAGCCGCAGTGCTGAGGTTGCCGAAGAGCTTGAGCGGGTGAAGCTGGATCAGCAGGCAACGATCGTCGGACCAACGAGGGAAACATCACGGAGCTCCCGACCTGCCGAATGCTCTGCCCCCTCGGGATCCCCCAAAAGTGTGCTGCATGTGTGTTTTCTGGTGTGCAAGAGAGCATGACCTTTTTGCGGCAGCGACTGACTTGGAGTGGCAAGCCATAAAGGACACGGTATTTGACCGCTCACTCCGCTCATCTCCTCTTCTCTTTGCACCTTTGGGTGCTGAGCTCGTTGAGCGTAAAGATCCTCTTGGGCGAGACGTGGGACCTTGGGTGGATGTTGATCTCAGACTTTGTCGCTGATGATTGTCCCATAATGTCCCATAGTTCCTCCGGTCAATCAGCTTCCTTTCAAGTTTTGGTCGTTAAGCATTGGCATGAAGCTACGGCTACCAACATGGGACCTTCAAAGGCTTACCAACCTTTACCAAGCGATGCGCCCCAAAAGCCAGGCACTCTCAGAGTCAAGAGCTTTGGAGAACAAGACACTCACAGAGCTGGAAGAAGTGCGACAGCAACTCAAGGTGCGGGGAAGGCCACCAAGCCACTGTGCTTCCAAAAGGGAATCCCATTGGGCTTCCCATGGGGATTCCTGTCGTGTGGCCTGGACTCCTGTCACGCTTATGTAGCCTTGTCCTTAAGTGCCTAAGCTCGAATGACCAATGTGCTCGGCCCACCAACCCGCTTGGGGACATGCATGGACATGCTTTTTGCGCAGGTTGATGCGGGTTGTTGCTTTTAACATAACGATTGATGACTGCTGCTGTTCTTGTTCATGAGCGTCAGTGCATCCAGAGATGACGATGCCCCTCGGACCCCCGAGCGGAGCTTCCGAGCTGAGCTTCGTATGCCGGTTTCGCGCGTCCCAGGACGAGCGGCGGACACCCACTCCGATGCTCGGTTTCGTGGGATCCAGAATGCTGGGATTCGAAGACCCTCCCCCAACGATCATGGAAGTGGAAAACGGATGAAAACATTGAACACACATGAAAACGGACTGTCAGTAAAGGAACACAGTCTTCCAAGGGGTTGTTGGATATAGAGGGTATACATGTGTTGTGCGCGTGAGTGTCACAACACAGAAAAGGGATGAAAGGGTAAAAGAAACAGTTCTCGAGCAATCCGCAGATGACAAGATGATGTAGGACACCACTTGCATCATCATACTGGAGGCCGTCTCACCGCCTACAGGTAACACACTGCAAATCAGCATGTCACACGATATATTGTACATATAAGTACACATATATACAATCAATTATTGTCAAAGGAAATGCAATAATTTCGTATAGAACCAAAACATTCTTCAAACACTAAAACGCCTTGTAAACAGGAACCTGATGTGACCCTGATGTGACCCCGTCGCATCGGGCCCCCCCCTTGCAGATTAACAGTTTCCCAGTGACCTGATGTGACTAATATTGGTGACAGTATATATATATATATACATATCAGAAACAGTACAACATTTCACCACAAACCACATCTTGCATTGCTCTTCACAACCCCGGACCTCAAACATTGGTTGTTCGAGGTTGTACTCCTCTTCGTTGAGCACTGAAAACGAAAAATATTGTTGTTTATTCCCTCTCAACTGGAGCCATTCGTGAAAGCAAGAGCCTGCCCCCTTCTTGAGGAGCCCACCCAACCTGTTTGAAGGTATTTGCCCGTTTCCCTCCTCTGACAAGGAATGCTGAACGGATCACAGAGCTAGTGGAGGTTGAGCAGAAATTGAACGATGAGATGGAACAGATCGAGGCCACCAGAGTCGTTCGGACGGCGGAGCTAAAGTGAAGAGTCTAAAAAATGACAATTAGTTCAAAGTCATGATACTCATGATAGTCGTGATATATATATATATAATATATATATATATAATTGTATAAGCTTATATTGTTTTTATTTAGCAAGAGTCTACATATACCGCATAGACTCACTAGTGGAACCAGGGTGCTTCCAATGTGGCGTCAGCCCGGAAGCAGGGTGAGATTCACCCTCAACTCAACGTGAGGCAGCAGTTGCAGAGCACAAGAGGAAGTACCAGGAAGACCACAAGAAGTTGGAAGAGGCGCAGAGATTGCTGAGAGACCCATGCCCCAAAAGGGTGGGAAGAGCGAAAACGAGGTGCAACATGGCGCAACATCTTTCTCCATGCATGCGACTCGCATTATGTTTTTTTGCAGATGTTGTGTCCGTTCCATGCGTACGTAGCAAAGAATGATAGGCAATGACATGTCCAATTTGATGGGCTAAGGAAGAACTTAGCCATGGTGTTGGGCGTTGCAAGATCTTAGAAACATGTCAGGGGGAATCACAGTCACATCATTTCTCGGATTGTCCTATTCCAGGAATCTAATGTCAAGAGAAGCAGCATCTATGAGATGGTGACCTGCCATAGATGTTATTTCAGGACTGGTTTCACGATCTTATGTTTACCATACCAGTCGTTGATGTATGTTTATGGTGACCCACTGGAGATTCATGTCTCGTTCGATCCGAACTCGACCTTGCAGGGCCTGTTGGAGAGCGAACTCAAAAGGTATGACTCCCCAAGCTATTCAAAAGGTTGGCGTTTTCCACTCGAAAAACGCTTCTTCTCGAATTTGGGAACCTGAGGATTTGAGACCGGTTTGGATCAACTAATCAGTACGTGTTTCCGGATTCTCCCGAACACTTGGGAGCTTCACAGATCTTCCATGTTTGCTGAAACTCCGTTTGGGTCTCCTGTCAAAGGGTTTATGATTTCCAGTCACTGGCAACCTGCGTGCTTTGGCCATACGTCTATGGACAACTGACGGGTGCTCACAGGAGATTTCTTGTAAAAGAAGAGCATCTGCAAATGGATCCAGCCGGTTTCAACGGTAGGGGCGGCTACGAGGCGCACTGCGTAGTGCAGCCTCGTAGCTCCAGGCTCACGCGGAGGAGCGGGCCTCTCGGGAACGAGCTGAGCAATACCATCAGCAAGTGGCGGTGGGGGGAGCCTAGTGAGTCACCTGTGCCGGTTTTGGTCGATGTTCTCTTCCGTTTCCCAGGGATCAAACTGGGCTGTTCAAGACACACCCAAGTCAGTCTCAGACCAACTCTGGGCCTAGAGTTTGGATGTAGAGTCGAGCGGCCTTTTGTAGAGGGATGAATCGTTTTTTTTTTCACTTCGACTGCATGTGCGTCCTCACCAGTTCGACGGATTTGGTCCTCCAACGACAGCCATGGCAGCAGTGATCCTGGAGTAGAGGACAAATATTGTATAGCGACTATTTGTACAACAATAAATACATGTTAAACCGCCCCTGCTATTTTGGTGCATGTCATTGATATTTGCAGTGTTTGATGCATGTTTTTTATGGTCGTATGTTGCCTGTACTCTTTTGGAAGATGGGGGTACCATATGTCGTATTTGCATTCAAAGAAAGAAGAGGATAAGGAGGGGCGCCATGTAAGTTCAGTGTTGTAAGTTCAGCATTTGTTGCGGGACATGATTGCGCAACAATTCCCAGGATCAAATCTCTCCAAATCCAAGAATCCAAAGATTTCCAGACTGCCTTCGATATTTTTTGACAAAAGTCAAAAAAAAACAGTCTCAAAAAGCAATTACTATGGAAATCTGTTGATTTGTTGATTTTGGGAGATTGATCCTGGGAATCATGTTGTGCAACAATTTGTCCTTGCTTGGAGTTCTCCAAGTACCGGAAGCAAGAGATTCTCTAGAAGATTCCTTTGCAACCATCTAAAATATTATATATACAAAGTTCCTGGAATTCTCTAAGCTTATTGAAATTTATTGTCTAATCTTCCACCCAATAATCAAATGGTTTAAGCCAACCCGCCGACACAAGCTTTATCAAATGTTCACAATTTCTGTCAATTGCAATCGCTACCACGGGGCTCCTTGGTTATACGGGTCACATACTTGATCCTTACGAAAATATTGTCCTTGCACAAACATGTTTTCTCTTGAAACATTGCATTCTTGAGGGCATCACCTTGTAATCATGATAGTCTCCTTTATCCTTTATGCATTGAAAGAGCCTTTCCTCTGAAAGTTGTTTCCGCCCTGCAAATTTGAAACGATCATTGATGGAAACACCTCCGTAATTGTCGGAAACCTGTGTGGAACAGTGCTCAACCCTATTGATTAGTTGAATCAATGTATATATTCATAAGATTGAGACGTGTTTGTGCCAAAGGGATTGGATCCTGTAAGCCAGAAAAGAAAGGGATGTTTTGACAAGGAGTGATCATGCAAAAGTTTGTTCTTTTAATGACAAGTTGTTTGTCAAGAAGAAACGTATTACCTGCCCAAGGTGGACAATGCAGGATCAAACCCTTTTAACATGGACACGCCTGCATTGCATGTCAAACGGCTAGAAAGACTTTGTATATATATATATAATATTAGTGTGTATATATATAAATTCAATAATTTGAACAACCAATCAGCGTAGGTGTTTGGCAATGATTCAGGTGTATTCCAGCAAGATTGTTTCAACTGTTGGAAAGGATTTGCTCAGACAGAGTGAGGTCTCTGAAGAAAAGTACCATTCACAAAGGATGAGATGTTCAAAAAGAAAATATTCCTAGTGCAAGGGAGAGGCTCTTGTAAAGATCAGAGGTGGATACAGGCCGGGCCCTTGTAATACAGAAAAATGCATGAGGAATGAGGCCATGTTTGAAAGAAAATCCAATTCAAATAAAGAGACTTGGGAAGAGAATCGACGTGTTTTATGTTGACTGCAACTAATTTTTTGTTTGACCGGATGCCCTATCATGTCAACTATCATGTCAAGAACAGACTCGGGGATTCCTTGGATAACATGTTGTTTCTTATGAAGGAATCCTCTTGGGGAAACACGGGACTCTTCCCACATTTGGGTACAAGCATATGTACTTCAGTCTACCCTACCCTGTCCAAAGATTGACTATTCTTTGACAGGTATCTCAACCAGGCCCCCAAATTGAAGTTGTCCTCAGAACTGAACATGAGGGCATTGTTCTACAGAAGAGGATGTACTGTACTGTGGTGTTTATTCATCATTAGCTTTGCAAACGTGTTTCTTGGAGCTGTTTCCAAAAGGGTGTTTCCAAGAGGTACGGAGTATGTCTTCAAATGCAAATGCCTTATACTTTTGTGTGATGTAGTTGCGTTGTAAGAGTTCAGCACATGCAATTATCAACTCCCTGTGTTTTTTTTTCTAGAGGCGGTAGGGGTTTCAAAGTCTGATAGATTGAGTTCAAAACCAGTGGGCATTTCTGTGGAGGTTGTTTCTGCTGCACAGACATACATTAAAAACAGGAGGAGGATGGAGTGTTGCATATGCAATATATATATATATTGCATATTTTGTATAGAGTTGACTATGGTCCTGAAATTGTCCATCTTTGTCAACACTGCCGGCATTCTTCTCTTGAGTAAGTTTGGCCTGCGGATTGAACACCGAACGTGCTGTCGTAGCAGTTTATCATCAGCTCTCTTGTACTGTTCAATCCACGCATGGGGTTGGCCCGGGTTGGCGCAGCAATGACTTGACTTGCTTCATGTTTTGTTTAGTTGGGTTACTTGGCAACAACCGAGCGAGTAGTAATGCAGCTTTACCAAACCACAAAGATAAGTTATTCTACCGTTCAATGTCGTTACATTTGGCATCAAAGTTGAAATCTTTATACATGTATCATGTATACATGTTAACTGTATATCACAGCACTTCAAAAACTATGATGTTGAACCCCGCAGCATGTGTCTGGTTGTTTTCTGCCTTTTTGCAGAGTTGCCTTTCTTCACGTTTTCGACCGCAAGTCCCGTTCGTGTTCGTGTTTCCGGTGTCGACATGGTGGGTCAAACCATGAACCCTGGTTAACCCACGCTTCATGAACCGAACATATGGACATATCGCATTGAAACCATCCTTCAGAGCCCCCTCCCCCCGGCGCGCGGCGCTTCCTTCTTCGGGCCTGCTGCGGCCGAAGCCACCGAACACCGAACTCGCACGGAGCAAGGCCGAGACCCAACTCTTGGCCGTGGATTTGTTGAAACTCCAGGTCCGAGACCCAACGAATGGGTCGCCCGGACAAACGGGAACGTCCCGGGTCGTTGGAACGGGTCGGCGCCAGGACGGTATGTACGTGACTCGGTGACCAGGCGTTACAACGGAAAATGGAACGTCTACTCTTGTTTTCTGGGATCAAGAGGACCACAGGATAAGAAGTCAAGCAACCAGACCCCAGAAGGACGCCCACAGATTCTCCTTAAATTGATACAAAACACATTGCAACATTGTGGAACATGTGCAACACATGCATAATGGAATGGAGTACATCTCTGGGTCACAGAGCTGCCCTCTAAAAGACCTCGTGCCGTGCCTTGCCGCCCGAGGGCGGCGTGGGCACGGCGTGGGACCGTGGGACGAAGCTTGGCACGGCCAGGGCGCCTTTGAAGCGGATGGCGAGAGTGAGTCCAACTTCTCACAAAGTTCCAAGATGAAAGAAGGTGGGCGCAAGATGGCACAATCTGTTGAGTTTAGTCACTGCACATAACAATAACATACATCTTCCTATCACCTGTCCTTCTGGGGGTCGACATGGATCGACAAAAACCTCCGATTGAAAGGCAAAATTCATCCCCAGGGTTCCCCCACCACTGCATCCCTCTCAGCCACCAGCGGATGTGAGGAGACCGGAGGGTACCGGAGAGTACGATGGAATACGATGGACACAGACTGGAAAGATTCTTCTATCAGCCAGGGATGGGGGATTCTGTTGTTTTTTCTCGAAAAAGAGGATCCCCCGGCCCAACTTCCCATAGCTGTTGAAACATCCGTGACCTTGACATCTTGAGCGATTCTTGAATTCTTTGCTTTAACGCAGTCAGTGGTCATTTTTCCGAAGACTCTTACCAAAGGAGTCCTGTGATGTTTCGCGTAAATACCGGATAATACAGTATACAGTATACATGTATACCGGCCTGTACATCATGTCATCATCCCGTCGCATCCTCCAGGCCGTGCACTGGTTGAAGCATCCAGCGAGGAGGAGGGAGAGGAGGAGGCAGAGGAGGAGCCAAACGGACGGAGCAAACCGGAATGACTTGGTCCGAGCAAACTTCCAAATCCAGACCAGGGTCCATGATTGGTGAAACAGCTGGTGATATTTAGTGTTTTTCCCCAAACAGTGTGGACACACTAAGGGGTTCTTACGGTAGCGGAAAAGCAGCTGTGCTTAGATCGCTGTGCCGCGCGGGCGTGTCCGGCTAATTCGCTGCTATTTACAGGACATTCATGCCTCTCCAACTCCTCCAAGTGCATTTCGACTGCGCAGGCTCACAAAATCTGCCTGCCCGCGGCGGGTGCTTCTAGCGACTGCGCTCTCGTTGCGGCGCCGTGCGCATATTCGCACCTGGTGGTCACCTTTCATGGCAGGCGCAAGGGATCGGAGCTGTTTGCTTCGAAGTGCAGATTTCGTGGCAGGCGCAGCACTTTGGACATGGTTCCGAGGTGCTCTGATTTCGTGACAGGTGCAGTGAATCGTGACTTTTCGACGTGTGGCTCTTTTGCAGATTTCGTGGCAGGCGCAGTACTTTGTGAACCTCGAAGTGCAGACTTCGTGGCAGGCGCAACACTTTGTGAACCTTGAAGTGCAGATTTCGTGGCAGGCACAGCGCTTTGTGAACCTCGATGTGCAGATTTCGTTGCAGGCACAGCACTTTGTGAACCTCGATGTGCAGACTTCGTGGCAGGAACAGCACTTTGTGAACCTCGAAGTGCAGATTTCGTGGCAGGTACAGCACTTTGTGACCTCGAAGTGCAGACTTCGTGGCAGGTACAGCACTTTGTGCTCTCAGATGCTCACCTCTCGCTCTCACTCACACTCACACTCACACTCACACACGCTCACACGCACACTCTTACTCACTTGCTCTCACTCTCACTCTCACTCTCACGCACACGAGAGTGGGTGTGACTCTCGTCTCACTCTCTCACTCTGTCACTCACACGCACACTCACACTCACACACTCACACTCACTCACTCTCTCACTCTCACTCTCACTCACACTTACACTCACGCTCACTCTCACTATCTCACATTCACACTCACACTCACTCTCTCACTCTCTCGCGCTCACACTCACACTCACTCTCACTCTCACTCACTCTCACTCACATTCACACTCACACTCACTCTCACTCTCACACTCACAGACACTCACACTCACTCGCACTCACCCTCACTCACTCTCACTCTCACACTCACTCTCGCTCACACTCACTCACTCGCACTCTCACTCACACTCTCACTCACTCCCACTCCCCACTCTCATTCACTCTCGCTCGCTCACTCACCCACCCACGCATGCACGCACGCACTCACTCGCTCACGCGCTCACACACTCACCCACTCATCCTCACTCTCACTCACACTCGACACTCACACTGACACTTACACTCACCACCACCGCCACCATCACCGCGATCTCCACCTTCATCACCACCATCACCTCTTTGCACCCCAATGCGTCTAGATCTCTAGACTTTCTGCTGATAGACCTCACACACACTGTTTGGGGTCTCTTGCCAGGATAATCTTTTTGGTGTTTTGGACAAGCTTCAGCGTTCGTGAAAGACGGAGCAATCGTTTTGGTTCAAACATCTGACCGACAGGAAACCTTCGATTCTTGGGAGGCACATTAAGGCCGGTGCTGCAAGGAAGCACGGAACGCACAGAATGTCACCGAGTTCCAAGCAACGGTGTTGGAATGGAACTGATATGACTTCCTTTTTTGAATTGGAATAAAATTGATGAAAAACGGTTGCAAAACCATGCAAAACCTCAGGAGGGATTCTTGGGACATGGCCTGTGGAACTGACACCCTCCAGAAGCATGTGAGTTTTTAGATACCAATTCTGATGTTTTTCAATGTCCCTGACTCCACCGTGGGTTTTCTCAAGTTCGATCTGGGGCCCTCTCCCCATGTGGAGGAAGTAAGAAAAAAAAAGAAAAGCAAAGACATGAGACGTTTGGGAGCTCTTCAGATCATCCCCTTCATAGAGATGCACCGTTCACCAAGTGTTTTGCTCCAGAACTGTCACCGGCCATTGGGCCGCGCCCAATGTCGCGAAATATTTTGTTCAAGAGACATGCCGCAAACCCTACAACAACGTGTAGATTGGCGAATGCTGCTTGGCCATGGGGCATTGCACAGCGATGGGACTTGATGAAGAAATTGTTAAGTACAGTATGACTGTTTCATTGAGTATGGACGCGGAAGAGGACTGAAAGTGGTTGGAAGCTGAAGAGAGGGAAAACCTGACACGCTAGCCAACTGCGGTTTGTTTTGTTTTTTTCAAGGGTTTCACTTCGGCATCCCGACAGCATGTCGCACCCACATCCCCACATCCAACCCTTGCAAGATTTCTTCCTTGCTCCCCAGGTCATGGCCGAGCAGATCAGCGCCTTTCTTCGCAGCGCTCTGCTGGAGGAGATGCACTTGCTGATGACCCAGCTCCGTGGGGAGATCACCGCGGAGCTGCGAGCCATGCACCGGCAGGAGCTCACGAACCTGAGCTTGCAGACGCTCGGCAGAGAGGGCGCGCCCCCCCCACGCGGAAGGGCTAGGGCGGCTAGGGCGGCTAGGGCGGCTAGGGCTTTGCAGTGGAATGGCAGCAAAGGTTCTTGTTTATAGAACTTTGATGACATGGATCACAAAGATTTCAGAGTAGTGTTTGTTTTTGATTGTTTTTGTTGTTTTTTCGAGCCCAAAAGAACGGCTAACGTTGGGTGCCATGTGGCCAGGCTGAAGCAAGTGATCCAGGAAGCGCACAGCTCTGTGAGCTCTGTGTGACTCGGCAGAACCGGGCAACGGGCACTGCTCAGCTAGGAGGACCTCTTTGCCTTGCGTGGGCGATGTAGATGCCCAGTGTTCCTGACATGTTCCCATGAACATGTTGTAAATGTTAACATGACGTAACATGATGCAGTCTGTCTTATATAGCTAACTTATAGCAAAATCCACTAACTCGACTCTTCTTTCTTATGCTCACCGGGTACGATCACACGCATTCCATCGCGTGTCCACGAAAAACGAACTCCATCAGTCTCGTCCGTCGAAGCCAAGGCGTGCAAAGCCGCGACGGTCAGTACAGAGCTCGCTGGCGAGAGAGTTCGAGACGGACTCCACGGCCAGTACAGAGCTCAGCTTTTCCACGGTCGACTGTGGGACGTAACGGCGTAACGCCCGGGCGGGTGTTCATCGCCCCTGTTGGTGTCATGTTGCTGTATGGAGGCAATGATTCAAAAGCCTTGATGCCCTCATCTAGTCACTTGGTGAGCAAGATGGAGTGGCAAGGAAGAGCGGATGTGGAAGAAAAAAGGCATGGCTTTAAGGGAAGGGCCGCACTAAGAGTGAAATGTCCTTTCCTCCGAAATCTAAAAAATGACAGTTGCCAATGCAACGCGATGCGACTGGGTCCGAAAACAAGTGTTGCGGAAGGAATTGTGGTGTTGCGGAAGGAATTGTGCGGTGCTGGGAGTGCTAAAGAAGACTGAGGCTTTGATTCCGTCGAAAGGAGTCCGGACAAGGCCTGGATTTGGTTGATGCTTGACATGTGTGATTTCTATCTACATTATACAGCAATTAGCTGAAAACCAATGTGTGTGTGTGTTTGTCCATGTTTGTCCAACCCTGTTTCTGAGGGTTTTCACACAAGAAGCTTTAGGTCACTGCTGTTTAAGGGATACTCATAATGTTTGCATATTTTTGATACAACAGGGAGACAGAGCTCTTTGATGCTACTCTCTCCATCGCAGGTTAAGCAATACTGTTCTCGGACTCTTCACCATACAGTTTATCAACAAAGGTCTAACTGCAGCAACTGGAGAGTGTTAATGCAGAACTGATGAACGTCGATTCGTGCTCCTGCGAGCTTTCTTCTAAGTGTTTACTCGCAGCATCGGAGTGAACAGTCCACAGCTGCATGTTCTGTGTGAACCCAGCTGTGGGCGCAGAATTCGCACTCCAACTCACCGGAGTGAGCTTCAACTCATTTACCGTGCTGCTTGATGCTTTCTGAATTATTGGTTCAACCTTGAGAATGCTGAATCTTAGCTGCAGAGCTACACTACACCCACTGGTTTCTAGCGTGAATTCGGCTTCATAGAAGTTCCCAACTGTCAACCACTAAAGATGTCATGTGCTCTTCCTTCTGGTTGTTTTCCTCATTGTTTATTGTCCGTGCACCATCGACATGTCATGTCTTTTTGTCCTGCGGCTTTCTTTTTTCTGCCTCTTCTTTTCTTTGCTTTTATACCGGCCTTTTAAAAGGGTATGCAGGTTGGCAGACAAGTGTTTCCCACACTACCACACTGCAGACAAGCCACATCTGTCATCAACCGTTCTTTCATCCACACGCAGGGGTCTACATCCTATTGGATAACCGCGTGCTGGTATGCCTTGGCCTTTCACTGTGCAGCTGTCAACCGCACCAACCATCCGTGCTTAGGACTATGCACGGCACTCGGCATAGACCAGCACAAAGGACACTTCCCCTCGTATCTGTCACAACGTTGCTATGTGCTTCATCTGGCACCGTCAATTCTGCACATTCACCTTCATGCAATATGTGCAATGCTCCCCAAAAAGGGCACCCCCAGAGGAAGCGCGGTACTCCACCGGTTGCTGGTGTGGATGGAACATGCTGGAACTAACATTTGGGCTGAGCAGAAGTACTGTGCAAATTGTTCCAGGCAGGAACCGACTGTCAGGTCTTTCCGAGAATACAGCTTTGCAATGGGCCACATGCTCCAGACTGCAGCTATGACGCACTTTGCTGCTCTAATTCATCTCTTCCATTGCCGATTGTCACATTCTTTTCCTTGTGAAGTTCTTTCTTTTCTCTACTCTTTCCTCTCTTGTTGCAGCCTTTTTGGTGTCACGCAGGTCGGCAGACAAGTGTTTCCACACACCACCACACATTGCCAACAAGCCACGTCCTTCTATCATTACTACTCCGGGGTCCATGTCGGTGTGCCTGGGCCTTTCACTGCGCTGGCCACCGCGCTTTCACCATCCAACCGCTGACTGCGCACCGCACTCGGCAAGCCATCCGACCAACCAGTGCCAGTGATGGATGTGGTACAGTCAACAGTGCCACAGCGGGCTTCGTACAAGATGCGCACTGCTTCCAAGAGACCAAGCAACGAAGCAGAGCCATAGTCAGCTTGTCATTGGTATGGTTGGAACTTGCAAGAACTTGAGCTCACTGACCCTGCAACAAACTTTGGCAGAACCTAGGTAGTGGAAAATGGTTCCAGGCAGGAGTTCCGATGTACGGACGCTATTCTCCAACGTACGACACACCTTACACTTGGCACCGTAGCAGAATTGCTTGAGTCAAGAGCCGCCAAGGACCTTTTTTGCAACCTCTCATTATGGGTGTTCACACGTTGTCGAGCTTTGCCATCTGCTTATGTACTGATTGAGTGGCCTGAGTCGAGCGACCTTCCTTCGAACAGGAGATATGTAAGTTTGACTGCTGTTACTCCGGTTCAGAGCGGGAACCTCAGCCACTGAATTGCATGAGGGTTTCGCCTTCAGGTAATTCGGTTTTTAATTGACTTTTCTCTTTCCATCTCTTTCCTTTCTTCTATAGGGGCTTTTTAGATCGCATCACAGGTCCACGGTATGCGCTGGCGTGCGCCGGAACACGGCTTCCTGTGCGTGTCCAACCCTGTTTCTGAGGGTGTTCACACAAGAAGCTTTAGGTCGCTCCCGTTTCAGCGATATGCGAATTTTCTTAATACAGCAGGGGGACAGAGCTCTCTGATGCTACTTTGTCCAACAAAGCTATGCATCAGAGAGGGAAGCATCCACGGCCATGGATGTGTACCTGCATCGAAGTTTTAGTTGTTCTGTCTTTCCACCCTGGTTAAACAGTACTGTTTTCAGACTCTTCACCATACCGGTTATCAACCAAGCATTATATAACTGAAAAGGGCTAATGCATAACTGATGAACATCGATTCGAGCTCTTGCGTATAGCGATACCTGGAATGGTTTATTTGTCTCTTTCTAGATAAAAGGATGCACCGCAATGTTGTATCTCTCAACGTTCTTGCTAGCAAGTTGTTGTATTTGTGACATGTTGTGACGCACCGCAAGGAGGGCGGCGCCAGAAGTGAATGCAAGGAGATTCTCCTTGAAACGGCAGCTGCTTGCTGTCCGAGCCAAAGCAACTCGATTGAAATTGTGGCCATTCCTTTCTCTGCATGCGCTGGAAAAACACCGTGTGGACAGGTATGCTCAAGTTGGTGGTTCATGATCTGAAGGCCCCGCTCAACGGACTGGCAGGATACAGCAGGACCGGGCTTTTGGTTGGGACGTCGCACGCTCTTCGCCCGTCAAGTCGCGTTGCCACGGCCTCGGCCTGACTCTCGGGGTGAAAGGCGTGCGTCGGGGGGGTTTTCGTCGTGAGGACTCTGGCAGAGACCGACCCCAAGCGGCAGAAAGAGTTTCGAATGCTCACGAACACTGCGCAGTTCGCCTTGGACAACGCAGCATGACTCAGCTTAGCTTGGGCGTTGGAGTATGGTGGAGTGATGTGTGCAGTGTGGTGTGGTAGGCAATTGCAGTTGAGGTTTTCGCAGGTTCCAAGATGTTATCCATCGCACACGACGAGTTTGAGCATCCGTGGTA